AAGTCAGCTCGACTCACGGCCACCTTCTGTAAACAGAACACAACGTGGCCCAGCCCAGCACCGGCCTCACAATTGTTGGTGTGCTGAGGCATTTGTATCGTGCATGATCTCGTGCCAGCCCCATCGCCGACGCCCCAGGACAGCCAGGACGGGGTTTCATCCTCGGAGACACAGAGAGCTGGTCCCCTGGGTGAACGCATGGATTCCAGAGCAGGCCAAATCTTACTGTGGTCCAACCTTGCTATGATAAACAAGAAATCACTGCTGTAGCAGCTAATAAAGTCACAAATACAACTTTTGGAACTTTTTTTTAATGGGCCCGAAGTTTTATTTTGCTTTGGCCAGGTATTATTTTAAAATTAAGTGAGTTCAACTGGTGTCCAGTTTAATAAAACTGTGTCTCACAGTAGGTGTAATAAGTGGCTTTTTTTACCCGGTGGATTTTTTCCCATCAATCAGTTTACTGAACGAGTCTAGTTGGGCTGGATTTATAAGAGGATGAACAGAAATAGCCACCTTCATAACCCTGCTTTTTACAAAAGCTTAAAGGTGCTCCCCCCAGATCCCCCCTCCCCCCAATAGCTGTGTAAGTAAGGAGCCCTGGTCTGCGTTGGGCTTCTAACTGCAAACTGCAGTTCAAAACCACCAGCCTCACTGCAGGAAATAAAGGATGGGCTTTCCACTCCCGTAAAGAGCTAGAGTCTCCGGTTGGGGTAAAGCCCTTGGCAGGGGCTGCGTTCTCTCCAGTCTCATCCACTGTGCACCTCTTTCTTATTCCAACTCCGGCTTCCTCGGGATGCACAGACTTGGTAGTTCAGTGAGAAGTTGGAAGGAGCTTTCTATCCCAACTTGGTGCGAGTGCACTTACACCTGCTGTGCTTAATCAATTCTTTGAGAGGTAGGGACAGGTGTCCCCATGGCAAACACCCCCATGAAGACTATAGATACAACGTTGTGTGTGGTGTATAGGGGCCCGGGGTCATGAAAGGATGGTAGTCACTGATCTTTCGCCCTCCGGTCTGTTGTGTGTAACTAGCATCCTCTAGTTCAGCACATCACACATGCACCCCTACCCCCCAGTACGTTCCCTGCTACGCCTGGAACCCGAACCAAACCTGTTGCTGTCCCGTCGTGGGGAAGGAGTGCAGCTCTGCTCCTGCTGTCACTGTTGGGAAGATGGAGGGGAAGTCTCTGGAGTGGATGTGGGGAGGAGTGTGAATTCAGCTTGATCGATCAAACATATCCCTGGGAAAGTCATGTCAGTGAGCGAGCCCAGGGCTGAATACCCGTGTTTCATAAGGAACATGCCTGTTGTTTTCTGTGCCCTGGGTTTTCTTGTTCTTAGAAGTCGGTCTTTCAGCAGCTTTGAGTGCGTCCGCTCGCTGTGCTAAACACCCGGTACCTCCAGGAGGGGAAGAGAGTGGGGAGCTCCTTGGCAGGGCACTTGGAAGCCCCAGGGGGAAGTCCTGTGGTTTTGACAGCATCTAAGAGGGGGCTGGGGCTGACTCAATTGAAGCCCTTTCAAGAAGCGGCTCCTTTCAGTGAAGCAACAAGGAGTGTCTTGTTCTGTCCTCTGGAGTCCCTGTGAGGGGCCGCTGTGTCTAAGGGACGCTATTAGCATCCAGGCAGCAGCCACGGAGAGGGAGGATTCATCTGGGCTTCTGCACCCTGGCGACCGGGCAAGGCCTCGAATGAGACTGGTCACCCAGACGGTGCCAGAGATGGGACTCACCTGAAAGTTGTAGGTGCAAGAGCCACCTCCCTGGCTCCCCATTTCCTGGGGGAGGCGTAGGGACAGCAGTGGTGGGCCACTGGAAGACGATGTGGCCGTGCAAAGATACCTCCAGTGCGTGTGGGTCTGACATTTTAGAGATGCAGTCCATCCTTGCAGAGTTCCCTCGGCATGTCGGCAACGAACTCTTCTGTCCTGGAAGATTCCTTTCCAGTTGCCTTCAAACTTGGGAAATTCCACTTCAGCCTGAGTGAAACACAGGTTTTACCCCAACAAAGATGTGAAGGGTTGAATTGTTAGCCTGGGAATATAAGAAGCTCTGCGTTACTTGTTCCTTATAAAAACCCTTTGTCCTGGATTAGAGAGAGACGAAGTTAAAAACAAGTCTTGGTCATCAATGTCCATATAGATTGGTCTTATGACCTCATGACATACCGCTCAGCCAGCACCCAGCCTCATTGTACCCTTAAGTAAGTCTGCCTGCTGCCACTCTGCAGTTTCCACCCTCCCGGGTGCTTTTTATAAGCTTCTGCTGGGTGTGGACCCTGGTAGTCAACAACACCATGCTATCTTGTGAATCCCCGGCTACCTGGGTTTATATTCTGATTCCATCACAGATGGGGGGTTGTAATGTGAGCAGGTACTTCACCACTCCAAGCTCAGAAAAAGTGGAATTAATAACAGTAATTTTCCCCCAAATGTTTATTGTAGAGACAAATGATCACGGCAAGTCGATGCCAACTCCTGGCGAGCCAGTGGGACAGGGTAGAACTGCCCCTGTGGGTTTCCGAGACTCTTAACTCTTTATGGGAATGAAAGCCTGGCTTTCTCCAGCAGAGCCGCTGGGGATTTCAAACTGCTAACCGCGTGGCTAGCAGCCAAATGTGTAACCACTACGCCTTCTGCGGCTCCTTGCCCCTGGTGACCCACCATGAGCTTCTGAAGTTGTAAAGCTTGCAGGAGCAGGATCGCTTCATCGTCTTCCCTCGGGGCTACCGGTGCATTTGAAGTGCTAACCTTGTGGTTAGCTGTCCAGCGCTTAACCAGCAGTGCCACCAATGCCTCATTGATAAAGGAGGAGACAAGGAAGCACATGACCGTGGCTTGGTGCATGATGCTGATGTGATGTGGGTGCTGAGCAGATATGAAGAACTACAGCAAGTCAAACTTTAAAGACACCTGAATTCCTGAGGTTTTCAGTCCATCTGCACTGTGATAGGGCTGTGCAGAAAGGTGGCCTACAAGGGGGCAGGGGGCAGTGCCAGAGGAGGCTCCCTTGAGAAGGTGAGGCTTGGATGCCCCTGTACTGAGTGAACCTGCTGAGCACAAGAAGCTGAACCTGCAAGCTTAGGATTCTGTTTTCGTGAAGGACAGAAACAGGCAAAACGAATCTAACCAGTTGCTGTGCAGCCTGCCCCGACTCATGGCAAGCCATGTGTCAGCAGAGCTGGGCTCCAGTGGCTGTCTGTCTGGATCAGATTGCCAGGCCTTTCTTCCGTGGTGTGATGGCAGGTCGGACTTTTGTTTAGCAACTGAGCACATTTGCATACCCCCACCCCTCTTCACCCTCACAGGACTCCCAAATTAATCTATGGTGGTGGAAATAGCAGTGCTCTTTGAGGGAGGCTATTGGCTAGAAAAAGACAAAAGAGTGTCAAATGCCCATGCGGTCGGGTTTTTACAGAAGTAAGCATTCACAGAGCTCCGTGCCC